AGGCCAGATTGGATGACAAGGTTGAACACGGTCACAAGCCGATCGAAATAGTCCTCAGAGTCTGTGAAGCTGCCTGGAGACATCGCCGACAGACCAAACTGTGACTGCAGCAGGGGCTTCGGGCGTTGGACGCCCTCATCCCACCAGCCAAACAGACCAATCGTTGCCTCGCACCAATCCTGCGCCGTCTCCAAGATGGCTTCAGTCTGTCCCAGGACAATCTCGTATACTGTCTGCAAGTTTTCGTAAATGTCCCAAGGAATCTGGCTCGAGGCTTTCTTAGCCATTGTCGACATGGACGTGTCAAATTCGTCATTCAGCGAATCGAGGAAGGTGGTATCTTTTCCTTCGGCAAACAGCGTGAGTCTATCCAAGGAGCCTCGGGCCTGAACTCGGAACAAGGTCCAGCTGCTGTTTAGAATGTCCCAGTCGTTTCTTGCTCCGGGGCACTGGTCAAGCATCTCGCATGTGGCCTCTGTAAACCTTCGTACGTTTTCGAGGGCCTTGCCTATGTATGTTTGGCCGCCGGAAGGACCACGGCGGACATGCTCCCAGCCGGCATTCTTCAAAAGTTGCTTTGCCCCGTTGACGTCACCCCGTAACAGCGCATTTCTCAGTGTCTGCCAATACAAGCTATGACATGCAGGGCTGGGCTTGTATCTGGAAATTTCTCGAATCTGGTCGGGATACAGGTTATGGCTAGACTGCATCCAGTCAAAGAGAATCTCCGGTAAGGGCGACGCCTTGTCATCCTCGAGTTTTGTGTCGAAACGGGTATGGTGCATGCGAAGAATCAAATGCGCAACGTAGACAGCTTTCTCGAACGGATCCGCATCCTCTCCGGGGCCAATGGTGGCCAGATCCTCGCCTTCTGGGGGTGGGAGCTCCTCTACGTAGTCCGTCCAAACTCGTATCAGCTTGTAGGTGATGTCGGCAAGCGAGTTTTCTAGCCTTTCCGGGTCATCGTGAGCGCCAACACCATCGTTGTATAGCTGGCATACCAGGTTTTCCGTCTTCAGGATCAGATCAGGCTTCTCTGTGATTCTAGCAGGCTCCTGGTAGGTATAGATATCCTTGGCAATGGTGCCAAACTGAGGGTCCCGGTTTCTTCCAGCCCTGAAGCGAGCTGATTGACTAAATATGCTCTCCGCTTCCTTGCGCACTCTAGCTGTTGCCGCAGGGGTCCGCAGCATCATCAAATCCGAATCGTCGCCAATGACAGGTTGGCCATACGCGCGATCGTCGTGCCGCATGTTCAAGAAAATATCGCCCATATCAGAGTCATCTGGGCTCTGTTCCTCGTCCAATGGAGCCTCGTCTTCCTCTTCCATTTCCTCATCGATATAACGCTCCACCTCGGCCTCCATATCGTCGACCTCTTCTTTTCTTTGCGATGGCCTTGTTGGCGGAGCTGCCATCCGAAACAAACCTCCTCTCATAGGAGGGAGATCGCCATCATTATCAGGATCCTCGTCCAAATCAAGATCCTTGCTGTCGTCGTTTGTACGAAGCTGTCGGCTCAGCCCAGAAGGCGCTCTACCTCTGATACCCCGGCCGAGAGTAGCATTGGAGGTTCGCGTTCGGCCAAACAATCCTCCTCCGCTCGAGGTCGAGGCTGCACCGACTCCAAAACTGGGAGGCCTCGGCTGGTTAAACTGGAGCGATGGGCTGCTGAGATCCGAAACTGAAGGGGGAGCATCCATGGGAGCGCCCGTCGGGCTGTCTTCGTACCGCTGGAATCCGAAGTTGTTGGCACCGCGAATATCTGGCGTCGATGGCGCCTCCTTGAGAGGGCTGGAATCGATGATGAATCGGTGCGCCATGGCGAATGGCGATGTTTGCCTCGCTGCTCCCGCAAAACGTTGGTATCAGGAACGTCGAGGGATCACAGTTTCATGCGTGCGAGTTGGTATCCGTATTCGTCCAACATGTAAATATCGTGCTATGCGAGGTCAAAGGGTGAGGGGGGAGATAAATTCGAGAGACTGTTTGTGAATGGAAATTGTCCTCTCAATTCATTTTGTCCAGCACGCGTCTTGGATATTTTTTGAGAGCTGCTGTCGCGCCAAGTTAAGACGGTCCGATATTTAGCCGGCTTCACCGGGCTGGGAGGCTCAGGTGAGAGCTCGGTGTGGGGTCTAAGCTTGGACATGTTTTGATTCAAAGCGAGATACGCGAGGGAGCTCCCAAATTCAGAGGCTGGGTGGTTGAAATAAGTGACTGATGAATACAAACCTGAAACATTGGTTATATTTGTAGCTGTTGAAATGCTGATGATTACTATTAATATCAAAAAGAAACCGAAAACAAACGTTGTCAGCTCCAATACGGAGTACAGGCATCTGTTCAACAAAATTCCTACACTATTCCGGCGAGTACACCGACTTCTCGGATCATCTTCCGACTTTTTTACACCATTTCGATTCACAGAGCTTATAAATCATAATGTAATTCAAGGAGTCATATACGGGGAGATATTTCGGGATTAGGTGAAGGAATTGGTTCACGGGGTCATGTCTGCCTCCAAACGCCGCATAATTGAACTGTTTTCGCTGATAACTTCGGTAATAATTATAGCCGCATCAAGGGATGGGTAACACCGCTGTCATGAACACGGAGAACGCGGATCTGGATGTATGTCATTGTCACATAACACCCGGTTGAGGAGCCGACAATGTGAGCAACGCTCTTGAAAATCCATCCTCGTTACAAGACGCGATTCGTTGACGGGTAAAGTCAAGAGCAATGCCCAGCCATGGAGTGTCTGGTTGTGTGCATGAGGTAAGCCAGAAATGAGCATCACTTTTCTGCGTCCCCACTTGACAGCGGGGTAGAGCATCGGAATAGCAATCGTGACGCTTCGGTGGTCCGGCAAGCTTGGCTGGGCAGAGCTGCGACTGGTGAACAAATAAATAGCAGCTCCATTCTTGAAACTTGCTTGGGCTTTTTCTCTCGCATTCTTCAGCGCGTCGAGAACTGCATTTCAGCGTCTGACTAACTAACACAATGGCTTCGACTGTTGGCAAGGTGAGCAACTGCCCCTCCATGATATGCCCCGCCACAATTTGCTGTTGAACTGAGCTGAGCTGACCACGGAATATGAATAGACCATCACCTGCAAGGCTGCCGTTGCCTGGGAGGCTGGCAAGGAGCTGAGCATTGAGGATGTCGAAGTTGCTCCTCCCAAGGCTCACGAAGTCCGCGTGCAGATCTACTACACCGGTGTCTGCCACACTGGTAAGTGACCCGGATCAAGGTGAATCGCGCAAAGGGGCAACAGAAAACTGACAGCTACATGTATAGATGCCTACACCCTCTCTGGCAAGGACCCGGAGGGTGCTTTCCCCGTCATCTTGGGACACGAGGGAGCTGGTATTGTCGAGTCTGTTGGCGAGGGCGTCACCAACGTGAAGCCCGGCGACCACGTCGTTGCTCTCTAGTATGTCTTATCAGCTATCTAACGGCATGCTTCAAGACGGACGCTAACCAAACATGCAGCACTCCCGAGTGTAAGGAGTGCAAGTTCTGCAAGTCTGGCAAGACAAACCTCTGCGGCAAGATCCGAGCCACTCAGGGCCAGGGTGTCATGCCCGATGGCACCAGCCGATTCAAGTGCAAGGGCAAGGACCTTCTCCACTTCATGGGAACGTCGACTTTCTCTCAGTACACCGTCCTCGCCGACATCTCCGTTGTAGCTGTCCAGCCCGATGCTCCCATGGACCGCACTTGTCTCCTTGGATGTGGTATCACCACCGGCTACGGCGCTGCCCGCATCACCGCCAAGGTTGAGGAGGGTTCCAATATTGCCGTTTTTGGAGCTGGATGCGTTGGCTTGTCAGTCGTTCAGGGAGCTGTCGTCAACAAGGCCGGTAAGATTATCGTCGTTGATGTCAACCCGGCCAAGGCGGAATGGGCCAAGAAATTTGGCGCTACGGATTTCGTAAACCCCAACGACCTCAAGGGACAGACCATTGTCGAGAAGCTGATTGAGATGACTGATGGTGGCTGTGATTACACTTTTGACTGCACTGGTAACGTCAACGTGATGCGTGCTGCTCTGGAGGCTTGCCACAAGGGCTGGGGAGAGAGCATTGTCATCGGCGTCGCTGCTGCTGGCCAAGAGATTTCCACACGTCGTGAGTTACCCTGGCCATCCTGAATATCTAATGAACAGAGTCATACTAACCTGATATCTTTTCTTGCCAGCATTCCAACTTGTCACTGGTCGTGTCTGGAAGGGTTGCGCTTTCGGTGGCGTCAAGGGACGCACACAGCTGCCCGGGCTTGTCAGCGACTACTTGTCTGGAGCTCTCAAGGTTGACGAGTTTATCACACACCGCAAAAACCTTGGTGAGATTAACAGCGCATTTGAGATTATGAAGCAGGGAGACTGCATCCGTGCCGTTGTTGACGCGCGGACGCTGTAAATGGAGCTTGCATAAAGGGACCAAGCTCAGATGTCAAAGTAGATAAAAGATGTAAAATACCAAAATGAAGATATTACAACAAGAAGTAGAAATACCTGGAGAAGTGAGGGAAAAGTTGATAATTCCAAGAGGTAGCGTTCATGCTCTTATTATCACCAAGTTATTTGGCACCTTGATGGCCCAGTGGAGCTGGGGCAGCGGTATGTTTATATGAATATATGGTGAGCCGCGAGCGACACTTTCGGTAAACCAGAGGCTTGCGTACCTAAAGAACACAAGATCAAAATGGTTTGTTGTGGGCTTTGTGTAGAGACTATTGGTGTTTAGCAAAATACAGCAAGAGATGCCGTTGCTGTATAATCTAGCTAGTTCATCGGTAATGGTGATGGCAATGTTATTTATTCGTTATTTGACTTTTTATATATGCCATTTACTACCGTACTGCTTATTCCTCAGAGCTGCAATGCGGTGCACATCCCATTGGTGATAGTCGCGGATTGTAGACCCACTTTGCGCTTTGAAATCTTTCTCATATAAGCTGGAATAAATCTACAGAAAAACAATCAAAACAAAGCCGTGATCGTATAACGGTTAGTACAACAGTTTGTGGATCTTACGAGACACTGTAAATCCAGGTTCGATTCCTGGTCACGGCACAAATCTTTTTTTGCGTGTGGCTGCGAATTTTTTGGTCTGGAATGTCGTGGGTGGAGACGCTAACATGCAGAGGCCTCAGCCAGTGAAGTACGGGCTATGTACTCTGAAAATGATTTTGCTTTACTCTTGTTTGTACAGTTGGATGGTTTTTTTTATGAAGGTGTGAATCCTAGCTCCCAATCTACCTACTGATCAACTCTTCTTATACATTGCCAACCACGAGGGTAATACATTCAATCATCTGCCAAATCGTTGCGTTGCCAGAATCGGAAAGTGGAGAAATTTCACGTGCGTGACAGTCGGACAAGCTTGTGCCGATATTGCTTGCTTGTCCGTCTTATTGAAGTGCTTATATTGCTTTGAGGAGAACTTATTATTTGAACGGAGGTGGCTTTCAATGGACGCGAATTAGTAGTTGTGCAATAATAATCAATACGAAGAAGAAAAAGGACCACCACTTGGTGTTGTAAAAAGTATCTTGTTAGAAGCATTGGGAGAAAACAACCCCAACAAGATTGTATTCACTTCATCCAGGGTAGCGCTTTCAAAGATGGCTTAGTGATCCCCATCTGATTTGCTCAATTCACCGATCGGACAAGCTGCGTCAAAGCCTCACAGCCACGAATTTCTCTTCGAACTGTGAACAGAACAGCCTGAAAAACTAGCACAGGGATTAGCTAATCCAAAGTTCACCACAGACGCAATCATGGCGACGCAAAGCTTTTGAACCGGCAGCTAACTAGCCCTGTTCTTCATCGCTCAGCCCGAAGTGACATCAAGTTTAAACCAGCCCGCGGGAATCCGGGAATGACGAAATGGCTACCGCATGGATAAAACAAGGGAAAAAAATCTCCTCTAGCAAAAAGAATGCCGGCATTTGCGACACTCGGCAGTTCCTATTGGGGGCAGACCAAGGAGCGCGAATGGTTTCGGGTGTGTGCGGATCCGACGGCGAAGATTCCGGTGCGATCGCCCCAAAACGGCGATTTAAGTGGTGAGAAGACGGAATGCGATTTGGGGGTGCCCATCGTGAACTCCGTACATGAATTACGAGATGCAACTTTTACTCCAAGGATACGAACATCCATTAATACGGTGCACTTATACATCCGACATGCTAATCAAACGATGGATGGTAATACTAACAGCCTGTCTGTGAATTGACGAACCGTACTGTACGGAGCCCATTTCGCCCAGGCTCAGACGATTGCTTAAAAATCATGCTCACGCTCATCAAATTAGTGTCAAAGGCAGACGCTTATTAGGAGGTTGGCCGGAGACGTCTGGTTGATGGCGCTCTAATCAAAGAATGCCCGCTCCTTGGCTCTGGCCCATGGCTTTCTGGTCTGGTTTGTACTTCGTAGTCCTCCGTAGTCGTCAGCTACTAAGCTGCCTAAAGAGGCCGGGGTACGTCACATATGCGGAGAATTCCTTACCACCTACCTAACATCGGGTGCAAAGGGTAGTCTATTAGGTAGGATTTATTCCGTTACGACCTGAATGAGGTCTTCGTAGGGAGGGATTGTGTTCGTATCTCACAGCTGACAAGCCTATCGACTTGCGGGCTGGGGGGATCACATCACGCCCTGACCTTGTGAGCGGGCGACTTTTCAGCTGCTTGCCCTCCAGGGAGTCGGCGCTTGCTGCATGGCAAGTCATGTCTTACGTCTCGCCATTGCAGCCGCCGGCCCAGATGAAACCAGGGAATCGCCAGCCAGCCTAGCTTCAGACGGGGTTTGAAGTCCAGTCAACCGAAATACGTGGGCGGTTAAAAGGGCCTCGGGGATTGCTCGCAGCAGACCAGAGAAGGCGATGAGGTGGGATGGAGAGAGAGAGGGCTGCCGACTACCGGTGCAACTGCATGTTATCTGCCGCAACATATACATGTACTTAGTTAAGATGTATCACGCACGCGACCATAGTGGCTTTTTATCCCTTCTTCTTTCCCTTGATCGTGGAGCCTCGCGCGCATGCAGGGTAAAAAAAGAAAAGGCTTGATGGGGACGACTTCCGCACTTTATTTGTCCCTGTTTGCGTGCGTTGGTGCGTGTGACGGCGTCCCAAGTCCGGAGGCATCGTCCCCTGTACGACAACGCCTGGCATGCAAGTATCGACTTATTTGTATGTGCTCGTGCATGTGCTAGCATGCACAATCCCAATGGTACCCCATTCTCCACGATGAATCGATGCATTTGCAAAAGCAGGGGTCCACCGCTACGTGTTCGCTGGCTAGCTGGGGCTGCGCTGGTTCTACATTAGCATCCGGCAGGGGATCATAAGCGATGGATGTGACATAGGTGCCCAACTGATGCCATGCCACAGAGAAGCACATAGGATATACGGATGCCTGCGATGTTGGGACCATGCAAGCATGGCAATAAGCGCCTTCATCAGGTGCGTGCTGCACCATGTTGGCGGCATTGTCTCCTAGGACCAATGCTTTGTAGACTACATTCTATCCATTTGATTGAATTCCATAGTCGCTTACCATACTTAGCTTACAGGTCTCTCAGCCGCTTTCGGAGGCGGCAAAAAAGACTGGAGTCACTTCTTAGACCAGAGCCCAGAAACAATAAGTTCTGGTCACAGGTCACAGCAGAGCCCGTACTAAAGGTGATAGTCGCGACTGCAAGGTGGTGGTACAGGTACAGTACCAGTCGTATCTGTACGGGGGTCACATTAGACTAGCCATCAATGTGGCCGCTGGGCAATCTTTGTGCGGGCTTTGATTGGAAAATGGAACTGACGAGATGGCTTCGTATCTCTGGGCTCCGTACAGTATCTCTTTCCCGCTGGCCAGCGTTGTGTGTCAGTGTCAGTCAATTCCAACAACACGTGTACAAAGTACATTGCATTACCGGCGGCCCCATGTCCATGTAACTCTCCCCCAAAGTACGAGCTATGTTCAGCTGCTCCGGCTGGAATTTCGGCCGGGATCATGGAGCCGCCACCGCCCATGCCGCCGCCTGTACATAAGTCAAGGTGTAATTGATCAGTTGATATAGCCGAGGCGGTCTCTGTTTTACCCAAAACGCTTAGGAACCAATTCCATTCATCCCGACTCCAGAGATCGTAGTTAAAAAAGAACGGAGAAACAAAGAGATGGGAAGCAAAAGGGCGGCAAATGGAAGATGGAAGGCCGAAGAAAGAGTACCCCATAGTAAAAGCAACTGATAACGCCCGCCCAGCTACCCGCACCCCTCAAGAGATTCTACCGACTTCTCGTCCTCCTCTACCTTACTGTACTCCCACTCCGTAAAAGAGGCCCGTAGACTAGAAGGGGGGTGTGGGTGGCGGATTGACACCACCCCGGGGGCCTGGGACATTCTCCACCCTGGTGGCACCGGTGCTGTCTTGCGCTTGTCACTGCCCCCAGGACCGGACTCACTCATATAAAGCCTCGCGCGATCCGCCGGCCGCGAGCGTCTTGTCCTGTTGCTGACTCAAAAGGCTCGGGTTTCCTTGCTTCGTCAGTCAGCGGTTCCATCTTGCGTCCCTTTGTGTCCTTGAATATTTAATCCACGGCGTCCGGCCCCCAGTCACTTCCCTGCGTCCTCGACAAAACACTCCTTGCGAGTAACAGCATCACACGACAAGAGCGTCATTACTAGTCGACCACCAAGTCACTCTCCATCCTTTTTGCCTTCATCCTCGCTTTTACTTCACTCTACGACTCTCGCCCATCATGCCTGCTAAGAAGCTCCGTTGCACCGCCAAGGACTGCCGAGAGCCTGCTCAGCGCATCGTGGGTGACTGCACCTTTTGCAACGGCCACTTCTGCGGCAAGCACCGTTTGTTGGAAGACCACAAGTGCAGCGGTCTGGAAGACGTACGTTTCATCACTGTTTCCTCCCCTCATCACAACCCCGGGTCTTTTAATTCATCAGCTAACGCTTATCATGCAGTGCAAGAAGCAGTCTCACGCACGTAATGCTGCTCAGCTTGAGGCTGAGCGGACGCAAGTCATCCGAGGCGTCTAAATCGATATCCTTGCAACTCCCCCGGAATCGCCATCATCCAACACAAACCGACCGTTTAATTACCGCACCATCTACTTTACTACCATTCTCCTTCACATCATGAGTTGCTGGCCACCGCGGCCCAATTCATACTCACGGACCATGATTACATGAAACGACATATTCTTTTCGGGGGGAAGCGAACGGGGGGGTGCACAGACACAGGCGAGAGGCTTTTGCTTCTTTTTGCCACAGAAAGAGAGGGAATCAACAGAGGAGAGCACTATCAGTGACCTCTCTAGTTTTTTGTACATTTCTACCATTTATTGTTCTTTTTTTCCGTTTCGGTCGGAACAGCTGCGGCCTTTGTATCGCACGGAGTATTGGGTATGATTCACATTTGTCGGGGAAACATTCGGAGCCATGTTGCGTTGGTTGTTGATTTTAACCTTTCACACTTTATTCTTATCCGCAATATGAAGAAATAAATACAATCAAAAAAACAACACAAAAATCCCATTTCGCATGTGTTTTTCGCATCGTTGAAAAAGCGCTGCGTTGCGTGATCCGGCGACGCAATGGCATGTCTCGTGAGGCTTTTGGACCCGGTGGCGCATTTTCCGGCTCGGCATGACTGGGGTTCCCCCTGTCATCAAATGTCGGGGCCTTGACATGCCTTCTATGCTAATCAACTTGCTTCATATAGCCGGCGGGGCTGGTGATTTCGGCTGGTCGAACCCAACACCGACTGACCTCCGAAAGCGACCGTCTCGATCCGACGATGGCGACAAGCTACGTGTAACTCATAATTACGGACCGAGCATCAAGTGATCCGGATCCCTGCCCGCCAATGTTATGTGAGATAAGGCGACATTATGTACAGACATGTAATATCACACATGCAAAGAACAGTGTGCAAATGAATACGGAAAGCGAGTTCATCAGCCCAACAAAGTTTCTACCATCGTATTCTCATCGTATAAACGTACATTTGTAAGACATGGTCTAGGCTATCGCTCTGGTGCTATATACATGCGTCT